CATCACCAATTAGAGAGAAACACACGAGAGTTAATCAAACTCATCGACGGTCTTCTCCTTACAAACCCTAGAATCCATGAAGCCTCATTAGATACGCGTCGCTTCTAAGGTTTCTCTCTTTGGGTCATGGCTTTCTTTCTCTGAATTCAAGTGAGTCTCTTTCTTCTTCTCTTTGTCTTAACACTATTGCCCTTCTTGATTTCGAGAAGTTTCGCCAAATTAGGAGTAGAATTGAGACTAAAGATCTACTTTTATTCAGGTTTAGTTTGATTCTGTGAATGAATGATGGTCCGAACCTTTCTTAGCTGCAAGTAGTGTTTCATTCAGTTTCAGACAGGATCTTCAATCATCACTCTTGTTCATATGAAAAGATTAGATTTTGCTCTCGAATTCTAAGTTCAGGCCTTTGATCTCTTCTCTGTTGGAAGTTAAGTAGTCTAATTTGGTGTAGAATCTTACTCTTTGGGTCCTTTGAATGATGCGTCTGCTTGAATGAATCAAAATTGAATCTTTTTTGTGTGTTTACTTTGGATTTTTGTGTCTGTACGTAGTCCCCCAACACGTTCATACATCGATTGTAGTTTCTAGGTCCGTATGATGACGATGAGCATCTGATAACTAGACAACATTCAGGAGAAGCTTGGCCATCCAGAAGCAGAAGTCCTGAGAGAAAGCCGCAAGACGAGATGTTTAGTAGACAGGATAATAATCACAGTGGCACAACAGAGAGGATGCGGAATAGTCATAGATGGAATGATATCGAAAAATCAGAAACAGGGAAGTCCAGTGATAATAATCACTATGGCACAACAGAGAGGATGCGGAATAGTCATAGATGGAATGATATATAAAATTCAGAAACAGGCAAGTCCAATGAGGTCGAAAATTCTCGTGTCAGTAAGGTTATGTCTGAAGCTAAAGTGAATAATGCCAGCTGGATTGGTGATATGGAGATGTCTCCAGATTGGAATTACAGAGTTAAAACTATAAAGAACCGTCAATGAAGAGCATGGCTTCATATCTCAGAGCTCACAATCATGCGTCCCTAAAGATGTTGTAGCACCTTCTTATGAGCATGGTGCAGAAGCAATATCTCAGCAAGATGGAAATCAAAGAAGCGTTGGTATGTTTTCAACAGTGGGTGAAAAGGCTGTAGCTTCTTCGCATCACAACTTCAGTAACAACCTCGTTAACATGGCTCCTCCTGTCCAAACATTCAATCAGAACATTGAGAATCAAAGCGCATTGCCATACCAAAGCACACCAGTAGCTGTTGGAGGAAGCCATGTTCTGTTACCTGCTGCTACAAATCATCCGGCAAGCTTAAACTCGAGCAATCCTGAGAATGAAATTGCTCAAAACACTGTGAGTAGGGAAGAGCTCAATCATATTGGCAACATCTCAGCATCTCTAGTACAGTTTTTAAAAAATGGGCAGCCGATTCTGCACCTTCCTTTTACTCTGAATCCGAAACAGGAAATGCAGGTGCCTGCGGTAGTATATGGAGAAAAGGAACAATCTTTACATGCTCAAAGTGACCTCCTCAGTAATGATTCCATCAATCCCGGAGGAGTTCCAGTGATTACTGCATTACCAATAAACAATATGGATTCACATCAAGTGTGGCCTGACAATGTGGTACCATTAGCTGGAAATCCCAAGGCTTCTTCTGTGGATAACCGAGACAAAAAGACAGACGAAGAAGCTACCAAAGAGCCAGACGGGAGAAAGATTGGAGAAAAAGAAGACATTGAGGATGCTGAGAACGTAGCAGAGGAAGAAGATGATGGCGGCAATGAAAACAACGAGAAAGAAAAAGATCCAAAGGGAATGCGAGCGTTTAAATTCGCTCTTGTGGAGATTGTCAATGAGCTTTTGAAACCTGCTTGGAAAGAAGGTGGGATGAACAAAGATGCTTACAAAAACATTGTCAAGAAGGTAGTTGACAAAGTTACCGGCGCAATTCAAACCGGAAACATCCCTCAAACACAAGAGAAGATCGATCATTATCTATCAGCTTCAAAACCAAAGCTTACCAAGCTTGTTCAGTTCTGTTTATTCATATACACACACACACACACTTCTCAAGCTTAAGACCAAATTTGCAGTTATTAAACCAAAATTTTTTCTTGTCTTCGACTTTCAGGCATATATTAGCAAAGTCAAGAAGAGCTAAAACTTAAAGAAACTTCCACTGTTTCTTAAATACAAAGCCACCATTGAAAACTGGAGCTGCTGATTAATGTTTGAAACTTCTACTCATCTTTGAGTTAGGTAAGGATCAGGCAAAAGCATATATTTGCTTCCTGTTCTTCAGTTATGTGTGTAGATATACCACAGAGATTTTGTCAGTTTTTCTTTTGGAATAATAGTTTTTAATGGAAATTAAGTTAGCATAGAGACCAAAGGTTTAGATCAAGTTTGATGATTTATCAAAATCTCTTTCTTGACATGTTGTAACACTTTTGTCCTTTTTACCAGATTTGATGTTCTTTATGAACTATTCTTTAAGCTTATGCAATCTTTTTCTTGTGTTAATACACTTAATTATTAGCACCTAATATTATTGACAACACTTTAAATGTTAGTGGCCCATCATTAACTACAGAAAGATGAACAATTACAGTAAATCACATTAACTAATTTTTCAACTAATTTTCCTTTCTGTTTGGTCTCTGTTTAGACAGTTTAGTAACAGAGCATTATCCAATTAATCATTTCATAAATAAATGTTAAAATCTCAACATCAACAATGGTCTTTAAATGGATTCAACAGAAGAGACAATGATCAAAGACCAGAACATTCTTAAAAGGTAAATTTCCATTTTTTTTCTCTTTTGCATGTAAATTACCAAATTACCCCTTCTCGCTAATTTTTTTTCCAAAGCTTGACGCATGAACTTGAAATTTTGATTATATTACCGAGCAGACATCGGAATCAGACAGTG